GGGTCTGCGCTGGCTGCGGACTTGCAGTCCGTGGATTTGATTGTTTTTGAGGGTAAGTCTCGTAAGTTGTGGCGCCTGCATCATCTTCTGGCAATATAGTGCAGTTTAATTGTGCATCAAGTACTTCGCTTTTTCAGACCTTCCGCCTGGGATTTCATTTTGTGCCCTTTCCTGATTGTGGGACACAGATAATTGCAGCTGCTGAACTTCCTTGTGCAAGACAGTCATAACTTTACGGAGCGCATCAAATCACTGCAGTTCTCTCTTCGAGCTTGCATAGTTTTATTTAATCTCTCTTCGTATGTTCCAAATCTGTGAGCATCTGTGCTGCCCTTTTCTTTACCTTTTTCAGATCTGTTTTATCATTCTGTGACACAGAAGATAGAATTACATAGAGCACTCGGGCTGTGAATGCATAGTGCGAATGCATATGATACATAATTATGCTCTTGTCCTTAGCCATGTGTAATTATTTCTAAAATTCATTTTTCTTCTCTGATCTTAACAAGCCCAGAGCCAAACTTTTCATAAAACTGCTCAGGGTGACTGCAGATCTCTTTTCTGAGTGGTAGCCGATTTAGCACCCTTTGTTCTGGCTGTGTAGTCCTCTTCCATAGGCAGTATTTTGTATTTATTGAGAGTTTATTTGTCGTTTTATTACCTGGTCTGTAGGAATCATGAAATCTTTGTTTCACAGTCAACTTCTTCCTCCTACCCTCGAATAATTTAGTGCTCTTGGCCATTTTTTAATTTCATGTACGCCATCTTCATTATACATGAATATATTGATGAGAACCAGCCACTCTTACTGGTGCACTTTTTCTTTTCATTTCAGTCTTGAAATACTGCAAATTGTAAATAAGATTATGTGAAAATATTAGTAAGACTGAAAAGTTATAGCGTTTCTTCAAGAGTTTTTGGTGAAGAATCTGGCAAGATGTTTTCTGAGATTTGAGGCTGCTGTGTTGACCAGCTCACTAGTGCCTGTATGCTTATTGACTTTCCAGAGAACTTGAGGAAATATGCTTAAGAGAACATGGCTTCTCTGCAAAAACAGCACCTAGGGCTACCAAATATTTCCGTGTTTGATTTCCTGGCCAGAAATATGCACAGACACATTATGTGGTGCATTCTTTGGAAGCGCAGAGCCACCTGAAAATCACCAGGCATGTAGCACAGGTACGTGGAGTGCTAACAGAAACCCAGGAACTTAACTGTTTGTTGAAAGAATAAGCTGATGCTTTTGGAAGTACTGGGTTTGCTGCTTAGGCAAGTAGCTTTGCCACAGGTGAAGCCTTCTGGTTCGGTTAGCTTTACAGTATGTGATGGACTTGTCTCCATGTGGTCTGTGAAAGTGTTTGGTGCTACTGCTATTTGGGGTCACTGTTTGGCAGCCTCAGTTGTGTTACTTACATATGGTTATATATTTCAGGCAGTCTTTTTACTAGGACAACATTTCCAGGCAAAATAAGGTGTGTTTATAGGCAGGCAATACCCCTTACCTAGATAACCCTGGCAGCAAAATTTGAAGAGGTGTGTTTATAAAAATGTTAAAAAGTTGGTTAAAGTGTGCTGTTAATACTTTGGGAGCCACACGTCTAAGAATTTTATGTTATTTAGTGCCAAGGAAAGGAATGAGGTGTATCAAAAGGAATTTTATTTTCTTTATAGAGCTTTTATAGCGTTAGCCAGAAGTTCAACAGTCAAAACCACATGGAAGATCAAGAAATGGCAGAAATGTTTAGTAGGAGAGTGTAAAAGAGGCATTCACATTGGAGAGACTGTGGTCATTTATTATCATTATTGGACTAATTTCTTAGCGTTGCAGACAAGTAATATTTGGTTGAGCACCACAAGGAACAGCAAATACCACATCACAGGAATACACATTGCTGTTTCCTAGAAGTTGTAATAGTCTTTATGTAACTTTTTCAGAACCTCAAAATGTCTCATTTCCTGACAGCTGTTTCTATTTTCAGTAATTTTTGGAACATTTTTGCACATTCAATGTTCATATATTCTGAACTATATTAAAACGCTTTATAACGCATTTGCCTTTTTGAAGTCGCTTTTTAGCAACATTTTTGTTCAAGCTTTTAGGCATCCAGCTGAATAATGTAGCCTGGTCCTTTCTCTGCCAGGTTTGAATTCATATTTAGGAAGGCAACTCCTTGCTTGAGCTGTAGGATTTTCTTCCTACTCTTCGTCAATTTAATGACATTTAGGCTTTAGCCTGTACTTAATCACATAGATAGTAATGCCTAGAACAGTGAAGGTTGTGAGTGGATAGCAAACTATCATTTGTGAGGATTGCCAGTACTATACTTCCCTTGTTATTGTTCACCACACTGGAAACACTTTCATGATTCATCTTTTCTGTACAGCTTTAAAGACATGCACATCTGGGAAGAGTCTTCTTGAACACTACCTTCAAACTTGTGATACAGCAGTCTCACTGAGCATTTAAAAGCAGTAAGAAACAACATGTGAATTTACCAGATCTCAAACATTTTTCTGCATAAGCTGATTTTGGTAGTTCTGAAAGCATTTTTCTAAAACAGCACACTCAGGAACTGAGAGTTACTATTAGTATAGACCAGCCAGAAGCGGTTTCTTAACACCTTGCACTTTCAAAAGCTTGGCCTTACTGTTGCGCTCATGTTCATATCATGTTTGTTCTCTTCACGAAAATGTTCAGGTGTTCTTTGATGTGAAGATTGGAGACAAAGATGTTGGCAGAATTGTAATTGGATTGTTTGGAAAAGTTGTCCCAAAGACTGTGGAGAACTTCATTGTGCTGGCAACTGGAGAAGTATGTTTGCAGTTTTCTTCCACTTACCTGTACTGAAGTTTGGATTGGGAAGTAAATATTTGTTTAATGCTGTTTCAGTTGTGAACTGTCAATCTTAATTCAGTGGAGCCTGTGCAAGAGTGCCATTCCCAAGGCTGTGCACTGGTGTGTGACTTCTCAGGTCCTTGGGGCTTGGTTCACAAGATATAATTACAAGATGCTGGATATTGCTACGTCAGACTGACCTTGCCATGCCAAATCTAGCATGTAGAGGTACTGTCGTAGGATATCAGTCAAATAAAGACAGTAGCTTTGATCACCTGCATAATACCTGCTTTGTGGCAGTGCAGTCAGCTGCATTCACCTGCATCTCAGTTTAATGTTCTTGCCAGTATTTGTATCTGGTGGTGGTATATTCTGTGAAATCTGGTCATTCACCCATGCGTGTTTCCATGTGACTTGTATAGAACTGGATGTTCCATTAATTTAAATATTTTTTTCATTTTCTTAGAGAGGATATGGATACAAAGGAAGTAAATTTCATCGTGTGATCAAAGACTTCATGATTCAAGGGGGAGACTTTACATCTGGAGATGGATCAGGAGGTAACGTGCTTAGTATCTTCCAGGTTCCCTTTCCTTTCTTTGAATGCCTGCTGAAAAGACGGGCAAAACCACATAATTCCCTCAGTCTTTCAGCTCACATAAATGAGAAAAAAAGAAAAAAAGTTTTAGACCATCTAGTACTTTCCCAGGCATCTTGGAACATGAGCTGCAATTATTTGGATTACTTGATTTTAAGTATGTGTAGAGCTTCCTTTGTCCTCAATTTTTGCAGATAGTTCTTTTCTGTCTGTGACTTGTCCCCCATTCAAGAAGCATGGCTTTGCGTGGTGGGCTGGAGCCATGTGACCAGCTGAGCTGCTGCTACAACATACTGTCTCCAAAAGATGGATGTCTCCGCCCTCCTCCTGCTCTGGCTTTGGGACAGCACTCCTCCCCTGAGGCACTCACTGATTGCATGTATACGTGAACCAGTTCTAGTCATCCAGGAGAAAACTGATGGGTGATGAAACAGTGAAATCGCGTAGAGGGAAGGCAGGTAGGGAAGGAGCTCAGCCGCTTCTGTGGAAACTTCAGAAACGTGCTTTGGGAGGGAATTTCAGAATGGGTAGTGAAATTAGAAAATTAGGGTCATGCTGTCTCACCTTTTTCCCCGTACTAATTTAAAACCATAAACTTACTGATGGTGTGAATTCTGGCTGTGTCTATCACTCGTGAGCATCCAGAAGAGCAGTTTAGTCCACTAAGGAGGGCAATCCCAGTGCAACATCTCTTGCATTGTGTCTTCTGATCTGTTCTCGTCCCTTACACACACATGCTTCACCTGCTAGGATTTGAACTGCCTGAATACGATGTTAGGGATTTCCCAGCTGGGACAGAATGGAAAACACACATGCCTTTTCTTTGCAGTGAACAATGGGGAAGGCTATACCAAAGACATAGTTTTAGCATTAAGGGTAGGCAGTGTTTTTTGCCTGCTAATACTGTTTATTGGGATAGTATCTAGTGGTGTTGGGAGCAGCGTGACCACTGTGCTAGGCACTGTACAAATAACAAATGAGACAGACTGCCTTCTCTTTTCAAAGTGATGGTGGTTTAAACATGACTCAAAAGTTTCCTCTTCTGAACTGTCTTAGAAACAACAAAATCCTTATGTAATATGGATGGTACAAATTCACAACAAGCCTTTTAGGCTAACTTCCATTTGGTCTTCATATATTTCTAGACATGTCTAAAGCGATTTATTATTAGGAGGAAAGGTTGAGAAAGTAAAGATTAAAATTGTTATGAAACCTGGCAACCTAAGTTTTAGTGGCCATAAATAAGTGATTTGTTGAATAGGGTGAAGTACACTTGTTCAGTGGTGTATGTAAGCAGGACCATTGAAGATACTCAGCTTGCTTGTTAAATCCAAAGGATAACACATTCTAAGCTTTAAATATTCTCTCCTTACATGCGATGTTTTAGCTTACCTTTTTCCTTACACCAAAATGCTTTTAGTGTGGCATCACTGACAATGGAACAGTGATGTTGCTGTGCTTACTCGAACAATGAATCTTCAGGTCCTGAATATATACTTTGTTTTTCTCATTTTGAAATAAAGGGGGTTTTATTTTTTATTTTTTAAGTTAGCTTTCTGATTTGTATCATAGGAAGAAGCATCTACGGGGAAAAGTTTCCAGATGAGAACTTCAAGCTTAAACACTATGGAATTGGATGGGTTAGCATGGCTAATTCTGGTCCAGACACCAATGGATCCCAGTTCTTCATCAGTGTGACAAAGCCTTCCTGGTTAGATGGAAAACATGTAGTGTTTGGCAAAGTCCTTGATGGAATGGTAAGATGAAAGTAGTGGCAAAACTAATCCAAGAAAATCTGGACAAGTTCTGCCATGTTTTATCTGCGTTAGTGTATCTGTGGTTCCAAACAGTTGAGTGTTATTTAGTACGTACATGGCAGAAAAGATTGTGAAGACCCCGAAGCTGGATGATTTAGAAATGAAATAGCAAATGGTGACTGCAGAAATGGAAACTTAAATCATGGCTCTGGCTTTCACAGCTCTTGTTTAGGCCACCAACCACCGAAATCAGCACTGACACCACTGCAGATTACAAATGCAGGAAGTTCAGGTTCCCCTTTCACTAGTGCTGTTAGCCGTGAAATAACTGTATTTCTACAAGCTAAAGTCTAATTTTGTAGCATGTACTAGTTATGGATGACGCTTTCACTGTTAGGCTTGAATGTAAAGTATACAAACATGCAAAACTGATCAAAAGCCAAATAGAATATAAATTGAAAAATGGTACTTCCAGCTGATCATACTCATAATCATCTGGTTTTCCTTTTAAGTCATTCAGTTTAATCTGTGTTTTGGAATGAATGGGGGAAACCTGAAGTGCTGCACTTACCCGTTTTTTGAGGAGGTTGAAACCTCATCAGAACACTTTCCCCCACTCCCTCATTCATACTGAATTTGATTCTCATGAGCTACAGTAGTAGCTGAAAACTTTTGAGGAGAAACTCAGACTAATTTTTAGTTTTGATTAACGCACCAGATTTCTTGAAGCCCAGTTAATGCTGTTACGATTAGAAAAACAAGTACTTCTCATCCTTTATGATCTCTGGATTACACTTTTGCTCATAGGCTACAGATAGACCCTGAATGTGCTAGGGTTGATAAGCTGAAAAGATATTTTGAGTTGCCCCTTCATAATATTTTTGTTGGGTTAAGGTTTTTATGGAAGGGCAAACAGCCTTCCTTCTTCTGTTATCTGTGTTTGGGTTTAGAGTGGCATGACGGTTCCTATGGGGAAAAAAAATCAGCAGGATAAAGATCTTTAAAGTTGCTTAGTATATAGTAATGCTTGGAGTGCTTAGTTGTTCACATGGTCCCAGTGTTGAGCCACTGGAGATTCCTTGGGTAAAATGAACTCTCTTCTCTTTTTTGTTAACAGTCTGTGGTGCACTCAATAGAACTCCAGCAGACAGATGAACACGACCGGCCTCTTCAAGACTGTGTGATTGTGAACAGTGGCAAAATAGCTGTAAAAGAACCATTTGTAGTTGAAGTAGGCGACTGGTGAGACCAATAGTCAGAATGGAAAGTAAAAATTACCACTTTCTTTAAGGCTTGTTTTTGACTGATCTCCTCAAAATATATCAGGCTGTATTTAGGTAATACTTACTATTTGCCAAATACATAAAAGATATGAGCATTCCTATAATAATTCTATGGATCTGTCACTCCTTGAAGTTCATGACATATCTACTAAATTGCAGAAGAAGTCGTCAATGAAAAGTGTTAGATGCATTTCTATTTTTTCAAGGTCTGAAATACAGTAATTTTGTTATTTTTGGAAATTTTTGCAGTGTTTCCACCTTTTCAACTGAACATACTATTTTCTGTAACAGTATCAGCATTTTTAAAGTTGAAAAAAAAACCCCTCCAAAAATGTGTTTTGAATAAATAAACCTTGATTTCAAATAAATACTTAATGAAGAGCTTTTTCTATATCCTTTCCCCCCATACTCCCAGCCTCTTTTATGACCTTATTTGATTCTGCAAAGTGTGTAGGGGGTGCTGCTTCCCAGGAAACAAGATGGTAAGGTTAGAGGAGGGATGGTAAATTTCTCTAATCTTAGTATGTCAAAATCCCTGCTGCCTTCCTAAAAAGCAAAAGTATTCACATGCAATCCTGTAATCAAGAAAGAGCAGCTCTGTCTACTCTTAAGTAAGATAATCAGTTAGTAACTGATTAAAACAGAAGAGTCCTTGCTTTACAGCACAGTGAATTTTGTAACTCCTAGCTAAAGTTAGTTAAATGCTTCTTTTTTTGCAGTTTTGCTCCGTGTCAGAGATGCAACTTTAGGTTCACTGTTTTTGTAATACTTCTGAAGTAACTCAAGCTGACAGCTTAACTGGTAGCTTTGAAACAAGGTCAGCATAAGGTAGCACTTAGAGACAGCTGAGTTTGTTAGGTTCTTTAATGAGTTATGTAGTGCTTTACAGGAAGGAGAGGGAGAGACGTGGGTTTTTTTCTCTTGAGTTTCCAGTGTTTCAAAACTCGGGCTAGAACAGCCAATGCTAAGAAGTGCAGAAAGATTCACCCACGTGCACAGTTTACAGCACACCACTTACCTTTGTGGTTTGCTGAAGGGTGTCTTGGTGACCAGGTGTGGTATCCAGACTCTGTGCTGCAGGGGAGAGCGCAAATGGGACAGCACAGAGCATGTAGGTACCTACTGGCACCCCCCAGGTAAACACTGTGGGCAGGGATTTACCTCTGCCTCTCCTGAGAGGTTGCTTGCAGTTCAAGGAGTGCTTCTGCTGGTTCGCCATTTGCAGCCCTGGGGCCTCTTGAGGGTAAATACTGACACTTCTTTTAGAGACGTGAGAAAGGATGACTGTCCTCTCTAGAAAGAAGTAGAGGAGAGTCTCTGGATGCGCCTAGTAACTAGGCTTCCATCTGACTGCTGTTCATTTTTATTTCTTAAAGTAAAGAAAAAATCATTTTTATTTACTTCAAGTAAAATTCTCTGGGAAGCAGCACTGGGAAGGAGTGTTAGTAAGAGTGAGAAAGCCTCAGACTCCCTCAAATAGCTCAATTTCTGCAGATAGCTGAAAGCTTTTCTGGCAGCTGATCCTGCCGACAGTGGAGAGAGTTCTGCTGACTGAACAAGTGCTGCAGTCACAGGCGCACCTTTTCATCACTCCCAGGCAGCTTCAACACCTATGCACTGGAAGGACCAGACTGCTGCTCCTGCCTAGCCTTGCCAGTATGGCTTTTCTGCAGCACTTCCTTTCTCTGAGCCCAGTGACTCACTGGCTCATCAATTACGCTGATTTTTTTCCCCCCACAAAACATGCACTTTTATAAGCCGATCATGCTCACATAGCATGCTGCGGAGAGTCTTAAATGAGCAGACAACCAGGCATTTTCTTGTGCTCCATGTGGAGGTATCAGTGAGACCATCTCTGATGACACAAGCTCAGAGAAATGTTTGAATAGAAATGCACGGAAAACACACTGGAGCAGTACATTCATGTTCTAGTACTTTATTTTGTAATGTCCAGTAGCACACATACAAATTTCCAGTTAAATCTGAACAAATATATATATATAATTATACATCTATCATTTTTAGTTTTATTAATTTACTACTTAATCATATTCTTGCTTTAGCTTACCACAGAGCTGTGTGCTCTGTGACTTACAAAATGTTAAGATATGGATTACAGTCTGCAAGTTGATGTGAAGAGTAAACATACACAGATTAGATGTCATAACTGAATGGAGATGCGTAAATGCCATGGCAAATCCCCTGGTAGATAAAATAATTTCAGCTGAAATCTACAAAATTTCCTGAGAGTGAGCTATGTATTTCAAAACATGAAAGCATGTTTTCCAATAGAAACTTTCCATACAGGTGCACTGGCTCTTTTCTAACCTGATACTAAGGAGCAGATTCAAAATAATTTAAGAGAAATGAACAAAATACTGAAAGTTGCTTTCAGTTTCTTCTTGCCTTAATTTTTTTTTTTGTGCAATTTCTCACACAGTCTCTTAAGTGCCAGCACTTTTAATCCATCCAGTGCCAGCAATGGGTAGTATGCTGGGAAAAATCCCGTTGTAAAAAACGCTTAGTGTAATTTATGATAGAAATTACAGAAATAATTAGTAAAGCTTTCAATTCTTTTCAAAGGTTAGTGTAATTCAGTGTATGACTTTCAGGTTTTAGTGTTAAATAGTTACAGCATATCAACATATAAAGGTATAAATAATTTCAATACTGTTGTTTCCATATCTTTTTTTTTTTTTTTTTAAAGCAGCAATTGTGGTGACACTGATTTTATTTTAAAAGATCTAATGCTTGAACCAAAACTGAGGTTGTGCCTTTTCCTTCTGAGCGTAGTTTTCACATCTCAGATAGATAGATACTTAATTCCTGTTAATTCCATTACACGTGACTCGGAGACTTGCTTCAGCTGCTTCTAGCCACACGTTACTTCTACCTGGGCAGTAAATGAGGATAAAATATTCCATGTAGAATGCCTTCTATAACTACATTTGGAAAGTCATCTGAAAAGAAAAAAGAAAGAACCTTGCTTTCTTACCTATGCCAGCACAATATAAACGTTTTTGTGAGACTTAACTAGGTAAGGCCTCATATGATGTGGGTTACTGCATCACTCCACTGTTTATCCGTGCTGGGGACATGCCATTAGTAATGCTGTTTCAGCACTAAAGCCACTTTAGTGTAGCACTGGGCATTGCATGAATGCGCTGCCAGATTTGTAGCTTATTGATTTAAAAGGATGTTCTAATACTTAATGCTGCTAGGCTCCAGCTCTTTATCCGAATCTTTTCTCACAAGGAAGATGGATTACACTGGCAATTCAATTTCTAACAAAATCTCAATATACTTGAAGAAATTCCAAGATTGCTACTGGGAATACTTCAAAGCTGTTTTTCCATTGTGGTTTACAGAGATGTTTAGCCTAAGAAGACTTGAGGATGCCTGTACAGTCAGAGATGATTATGGGAGGCAGGAAAATTTCAGGGTGTCTAATCAACATAAAGTGTCATGCATTACAAAAAGTCATCCTATAATATCTGAGGTTAAAAAACTGCCACTATGTTCTTACCACAAATGTAGAGGAAACTGGCACTGAATTTTCATGTTATATTTAGCATAAAAGAATTACCTGATAGAACACAGTAATAGATCCACACAGGGGAACATAACAATGTACATTACTGAAGTGAAACTATTTTTCAAATGCACCAACTCCTGCGTTTTTAATGGAGAGTTCATTTAAATCTGTGGGCGTTAAGAGCAAGAATTTCTGATCACCTCTTACAATCTTAAAATTGCTACTACACTAGGAAATGGATTGGCCTAGAAGAACAGACTATTTATAGAATCACAGAATCACAGACTGGTTACAGTTTGAAAGGACCTTAAGACCATCCAGTTCCAACCCCCCTGCCACGGGCAGGGACACCTCATATTAGACAATGTCGCCAAAGGCTCTGTCCAACCTGGCCTTGAACACTGCCAGGGATGGAGCATCCACAACTTCCTTGGGCAACCTGTTCTGATAGAGAACTTCCCACACTAATCAAATCTTTCCTTCACCTATCAGCCTACAGGTTATTCAAAATGGGGAGATGTAACTTTTATAAAAATCATTAGATACTTGGTAAATTAGATCACCGAATGTGGGTGGGAGTTAGGTTTTGCCCCGCATTCTTTTGTTAAAATATTTCTGGAGGTAAAACTATTGAGCAAAAAGTAGATTTGGACTTGGTAAGGAAAAAAAAATCCTTACTAGCTCAGAAGTGTTATCTCATAGGTTTCAATAAGGTGATTCCTGTGTATTAAAGATGTTACAAACATATTTTAGGAAGTTTCAACGCACTGCAACATCCACTGTGAACAATACATGAATAATTCTCCCAGCTTCTCATAGTAAGCCATAATTATAAATTACTTGTTAATATTTTGAATCCAATAATGATTCCTCAAGTCCTGCAAGCTCAGCTATCCCCAGTCACCCTGGTAGAATAACCCTATACTGTTGTCATTAATGTTATTAAAAATACACTAGTAAGGGCAATCTGATGCTTTCCTTCTAAATTAAATGCTGCAGTTCCAGAAACCAGTTTTTACTGGTTCTTCTGTAACATACAGAATATATAGGAAAATGACTATTGATTTAAAAAATGATACAACTTCACAGCATCAGATTTACTGTAAGGCTTTGCTGCTTAAAAAAATCAAGTATATTAATTTAAGTTAAATGTATAAATACACTGAAGCACAGTCCTGCAAATCTGTGAAACTTACACGGCTTAAAGAATCAGAACAGTTTTTGAACAAATGACAATAAATCTGAGATTCCATTTTTTAGCTAAAAATCGAATGGCCATCTTACACAAAAGGTGATGTGCTCACGCACTCAGAAACATCATGAAAAAGCAAGTAGAATGCAAGTGTGAAAATCAATGAGGGTTGTAACTATGAGTCTTATTTTTGCGAAGTTGTCTTGCAACTCAAAAATGTTTAAGTTCACTCATTAGAATAATAGCAAGACGGTATTTTATGAAGACAAGTAACAGTGCAATGAAGGGGAGGAAAAAGTGTTCTCTGAGTATTATGTTGCAGACAGAACTGTGAATTTCATTTAAAAACCCCACAAATACACAATCTCCTGTTTTATGGGAAAATGTTAACACAGGCATTACTGTATCCAGGGAAGAACAACTCCACTTCTGAGCCAAACAACTCTCACAGATCACCTTCAAAGAGTACACAAACTGAATAGTTATTCATTTGGACATTTACTTTTGGTCGTAGTTTGAACAACCTTGGCTGTTTTTTTACAAATGAATCAGTCTATCAAAGTGAGAACTGATCTAAGAAAGAAAATTTTAGAAAGCTCATCTATATTTTCTCTGTGCTGCAAACTGAAAATGAAGGAAGAATTAAAGGCAATGTCTAAAACCTGTAAAAACTTTGTTTCTTTCTAACTAGACTTAACCAGTAGAGCTTCCGGACTTACGACTCAGTTTTCTTCTGTTTTTAGACTACAACTCACATTCTAATTTGTGTTTCAATTCAAGTTAAAGAGTAACTACCAAATGAATTTGATGTTTTAGGGTCTTCAAATACAAAGAATATTCATCTGCCACATGAATTCTAAATACTGTGTGTCAAGGCCAGAGAATGCCTTGGCAAAGGCCGTAGAAGTCTTTTGTTTCAGATGTCATTAATGAGGCCTACTTAATATTTAAACATGGCTTTTATCTTAATCCAAGTAACACACTACTTAAAGGAGTAGTTACAAAATTCATTATGAAGTTCCTAATGATTTCAAGAAAAGGAAGTTCATCCTTACTCAGAGTATACATTAGGGAAGGAAGACAAATACCATCACAAAACTGCAAAATCCTGACTAGAAGTCCTACAGCAAAACATTACATGTTGGCTAGAAACACTAAGTGCTGTCTTCATTTTCAGAGTAACTGACTATGAAATCCATTTTCTCTCTCACGAATGATATGGAATTAAATTATGTTCATAATTCACACCTTGCTCTCAAGGAATCCAAGTTTGTGATTAAGAGGAGCATTAAACAGTTAGATTAAAGCATGCAATGTGATCCACTCTAAATACTAGCATAGGTAGCACCTGGGCCAACTTTTAGACAGGTATTTCTGCAGGTGCTTCTGAATTGTGTTGTCACTTGGGTCAGGAGTGATCTTGTAAAGTGACTATGTCTCCATTACCAACCTGTTCTTTGGTGTATCAATTTTGTGATGTGTGCTCCAGCCTTAGATGTGCATTCAGTCCAGCTGACCAGACCAGTGATAAGTCAAGCCTAAAAGACTAAAAACTAAATGACTTTTTAATGTGTCTTTTGATGTGGACCTTGGTCACACAAGATCTCTGCACTCACTGTTTTACTCTAGAACTACAACTTTAAGTTCAGTAAGACTCCACAGGGTCAGTACCATTGGCCCACACCACTGGCTAGAGTGGACATTGCCAGCCAGAGAGACTATTTAAACCTCCCAAAATACATGAGCCTGGTCCCTGGCTTTGAAAAATAGTCTGAAAAAAGTAACAGAATCACAGAACGACTGCAACTGGAAAAGACCCCCTGAGGTGGTCTGGTCCAGCCTCCTGCTCAAGAGCCAGTTGCCCAGGACCATGTCCAGAAAGCTCTTCAGCATCAATAAGGATGGGAACTCCACCTCCTCTCTGGTGACCTGTGCCAGGGCTCAGTCACCCTTACAGTGAGAGTGTCTGCCAGTGGGCACCACTGAAAAGAGCCTGGCTTTGTCTTCTTTACACCCTCCCTTCAGCTATTTATATACATCTTGAGAAAATCTGAATGAAGTACACTTCACTGGCTAAGAAACTACAAGCAAACACGTGTTCTTTCCTAAATTTACTCTTAAAAATTTTATGATGTTCAAGGCAGCTCAAGAACCTCCCTCTTGATTTCAATACAGTATTTTCTAAAATCAAACAAAATGCTACATGAAAAAAAAAATAATTTGCAGCTCTGGGAGAAAATTCTTCCTCGAAAGTGTAATTACATTTTTAATACAAAATTTAGTAGAAGTATCAGTTCAAACAAGTAAAATGATAAAACCAGGAGGAATACACTACTAAAAATGATTATTTTGTTTTTAACTGCACACATTTAATTTAAGACAGAGGGTAAGTTCTCTGAATTAATAATGCAAAGAACTTTTTATTAAAAAAAAAAAGGCAAAAAGAAAAAAGAGTTTATTAGAAGCTCTTTCAAATACTTTTTTGAACCACATACTAAGAGATGAAGGTTAACACTAATGTCCCATGAAATGCACCAATTAAAGTATACATTCTTCTCCCTCCCCACTCCCCCAAAAAAGCTCTAGAGGTTATAAATGATAAGAAATAGTAGTAATCCAAATGGAAATACAAACACGCCTGCAGGAGATAAACTGGTGTTTAGGGAAAAAGCACTTACAAAGGACTGGGTCTCTAAGTTCAAATCCTTCAGGCATAACAGCCCAAAGGGTCAACAACAAGAAAAAAGCAATATGTTCTTTGTCTTTTGACTTGAATTCTCAGTAGGTTTGTCTGAGAGAAGAACTGGGGGAGAAAATTCCACCCTTTTATAAATCGCCCACCCCACTTAGTGTTTTAATGGTTTCTTACACAAGAACTATCATTTTATTGGCAGGTTATTAGATTTTGGACCAGTGTCATCTGACTAGGCCGGTATTAATAATAATGTGGTTTATGTGGTGCAGGGTCAGAGCAGTAAAGCACTGTTAACAGATGACAGGTTTGATTACCGTTGGCTTTAGGCAAGACATATGGATCCCTTAGGAACAGCAGCACAGGCTGGTGGGACAGTTTGCTGGAAAGGTCAAGAACAGGGATGTCAGTATCAAGGGACAGCAAACAGAATATTGTACAAACTAGCTTTGATAAAGTGAGGTGTCTGAGCTACGCAGGAGCCATGGCCAGTGCGCTTCTGCGCACCAGTGCTGCCCAAAAAAAGCAGGTTCCATCTCCTGGGAGCAAAGCTCACCATTCCTCAGCTGCACAGCAAAACTGCCAATGTGAAGATGAGGCAAAGGGGCTGTGTGCAGGAGGGGCAGCTAGCAGCTGGCTTTGAGACCTCCCTGGTGCCTGACGTAATGCAGGCTGCAAGATCACCTACAATCACTGCCCTTGGTAGCCCCTCGCAGGGCTGTCTCCCATCCTGGGAGTATAGACATCCCCCACCAGCCCTCTTCCCTCTGCTCTGTACGTTCGCATGCCAAGTAGTTCAACTAGGTACATACAAGGCCCTGTCAAATGCATAGGGGAGAACCCAAACCTCTAATTCCTTCTGGTAAATCTTCTTGCTACTCAAAATACATTTCAATGGGTAAAAACATTACCAGAAATTATTTTAGAGCTAGCAGTACTCTATTAGGGTTTTGCAAGGAATTTCTCAATAAAAGGAAAAGGATGCTCAATTCACACTACAGATGGATGGATCTACCACAGCTGATGAAACTAGCCATAATATTTAACAAACACATCTAATTTTAATACTAAACCATTTTGTCAACTGCACTGAACAAATACAGTAAAGACTAATAATTTCAAGTAGTTTTGTAATCTGGTGTCCTAGAAAAAGTAGGCATCAAGCTTACCTTGATTCTTCAGATTCTGTTTCATCAAAAGAGCTGCAAGTAAAGTGAGAAGAAACTTTGGTTAAACAAAATTAACTCTCTAGTAAAAAAAAACCCCAAACAAATCCTTTAGGAACCATCAAAAGGAGGATTTTTTTCAGTAGTTGCATTAGGTCATGTGCTGGAATGAATGTGGGAGATAGATCGTATCTTTTTACAACAACCACTACTTGGAAATGACAGCATCCATTTTACTGAAACAGATTCACATGTGTATGTATTTGTTTATGAAGCGTTGGGGTACAGTCCCACTGAAGGTATTGGCTGAGGTCATTCACTGCAAGTTGAAACTACAAGTCTGTAAGCTTCTCAGTCCCTCTGGAGACTGCCCTGGGCCAGACACCTCTGAGTGTAGAGAGGGTCTCAAAATTACCTCCACTTTTTTCACCTTGCTTCCTCTCCACTGCAGATCCACACAGCCTCCCTCGAAGTGGGAAAGAGCCATGTAGCTTTCTGGGGAGCAAGTTCTGGTAATGCTGCTGGACTACCAACTATGTCAGCTTGCATAGCAAAAGAAATTACTCTCCCTACAAAGCTTACAGCTGCAGATGGTAACAGAGCTTCCACTTACATTGTTTGGGGTATTTCTGTTGTCATTATGCATTACTACATTCTGTAGTCATTACAATCATACAAAGATTCCCTTCTCCTACCCTGCTCAAGAACCCTTCCCAACAGAAAGGCAATGGGGCCATTTGGGTTGATGTCATCAGAAAGGTGAAAGACCCCATTTTCAAACACACAGAGGGAGATCACAGAATGAACTTCTATTTTGTGCAGTTACTATGACCATTAGACACATGCAAAGGCTTTCTATGCAACTTTAGTGAGTGTTTATGAGTATTGTACATTTCAGTAGATACTTCAAGATCTATGAGAAAATCATGTTTTTCTCATCTAAACTCTCCTTTCCTTTCCAAAAATATTACATGAAACCTTACTTGTGTCTTTGGACAGTCTGGATTTATTTTACCACCTTTTAGGGATATATAAACATTCTCAACATGAACCTTATGCCCATTTATTTTACAGTGTTAGAGTTGGCAGCAAGACCATTTTAAGTCAATGGAATTGGATCAGCACTGAGTGAATATGGGCCTTTTGGCCTCCATGTATTTTTCAGTAAATGAGAGCTTACCCACAGCTTTCTGCTTTTGGCAAGCTAGGTACATGGCGAACATTCAGGAAATCAAGAAATATTTTAGGGAGCTCTTCATTTTCTAAAATGACTGTCTGTAAAAAAATAAAGAAAAAAGGCACAATAGAAACCCAAAATTTCTTAGCATCTTAGATATAGCACACTTTTATTTAAGCCAGCAAAACATTCCCCATTTGCGACACTTGTCAATTATTCACTTTTATTACACCTATTTTGGAGTACTTCAGTAGGAAAACCACAGTTCTTAATGAATCACATATAAATAAATTTCAGCTCATGCTACTACATTGTTTTTCACCTGCCATCACTGATGCCAAGTTAGATGCCTCTCAAGCAGAGAGGTTTGATTCTGGAACTAAGTTACTGGCATACTCACATGTGAATAAAATCCTGTTTATTTAAAACATAAATCAGCTACAACACAGTGCTTTTATGTTCGCCTCACAGAAGACTCCTGTCTGCCACACCAGTGGAAAATTGAAGTCTCCACTTGGTGCAATTTTATTAACACATGCCTTGGTAAATGCTAATAAGGGAAAGAAACTCTTTGCTTAGTTTGACAGATGAGCTTACAACATACTCCTATTTGCACTGTGACTCCTAGCGACAAGAGCTCTGACCAAAGAGCTGCTGGCTAGACCTGCCACATTCTTCCACAGCAGTGACATGAAGACTCCATCCTCCTTTGTTTTCTGTTGATGAGATGATTTACAGTTTTCAGTAAATTACAAGTACATTTAAAAATACGTAGCAAATACATGAGATGCTTAAGTGCATGTTCACCATGAAACAATGACTCTTCAAGGAAAAAGTAGATCTCTGACAGTTTCAAAGAAGCAGACCAAAACCAATCATTGATCTTTCATTTTCATGGGGCAAACAGACTAGTTCATAAATTCAACCAATGTCTCACCTGAAAGATTAAGCCCCTATTTATTTACTGTTCATACTGCCATATATTCTGATAACACACATACTTCACATGCAAATGAAAGCCACAAGCTCTTTGCTAAAAAGCCTTCCTTCATAATGGCCTGATCCAGAGAAGATGTATGCACGGAAGAAACTTCACTAGATTTATAAATGAAACAACTTGCACAAGTAAAGCTATCCACATCTATCCCGATCATTTTCACACCCTATGTTAGAAGAAACAAACCTAGAAAAGAAACAAGACTGGCGATGGGAAGAAGCATTACTCTGCTTACATTCAGGCAGTAACATATTCCTGTGTGTGTATTCTCTTACATTATAATTATCACTAGGGAGACACAACAGAATATATACAATTACAAGATTACAAAAAAAAAAAAATAGGTTGGAAGAGACATCTAGAAGTTCATCTAGATTTTATAGCAATTGGCTTGGTGATTTGTGTAATGAATACCCAATTAGTGTTAAAATTACATGAGATGTGCACAGACTTTAAGAGAGGAACACATTTGAAAACAAAGATATTTGAGAACTGGTTCTTTTTTAAGTTACATTCACAAATCTGAATTCAGAATCTACAGTTCTTCAACAGCTCAGGACATCACTAACAAGTCTGAAAAAAAAAAAACAACCGAGGAAAAAGGCGGCTTTTGAACTCTGCTGTTCTAGATTTCAGTGGATGTAACAAACCTGGAGGTCTGAAATGTTGGCAAGTGTTAAGCCTTTCATTTCACCTCTGTATGAAGATGCTGCATTAAAAAATGCCACTCCATTTGCATTCTGCAAAGTGAGCACTCTGCTGCTGCAGAATTTATCCTGTTCTGCATTCAGGTTATACACAGAAGGAGGGGTGGAGGTGGGTGCATACTCAGGTGTGTGAATTGCATAACAATGCATGTTGTTTGTTCAAGTAAATCATCTTAATAATCACATGCAATGAAGAACTGAAAAAAGTTGTATAAAGATGTTTAAGGGCATCCAATGCTTACATGCAACCTCGTACTTACACCTACTGGCAGCTTCTTCCAAAAGTTGAGCTGCCTGCTGAGGCTGCTCAACAGAATGGTGATTGTTAGGGAAGAAGAGAAGGATACATCACTGTATAAAAGGAAAACTCCCAACAGCTCTTATTCGTTTCTACTTCCACTCACTCCAGATTAATATCTTATTCTTCGTTTTTTCTTTTTTCCCCACGACATGCGTCAAGTCAACCCAAGCCCTGCTGACACTGCCCCAACCAAGTGTACTTCAGAAAAAGATGTAGGAAAATAGCATCTGGTTTAGTATGCTAATCCATATAGTTTGTTAACTGTCAATAATTCTGCTTTGGTGATCAATAAACATGAAAACATAGAATTTGCAGAGAAGCAAAGGCAATTTGCACTGTACTGTATCTTGGATATTGCCTCTGTTGACTGGGAATTCTGTCATTTCCAGAATTTTATGAAGGTAGGAATGACTGCATTGGACAAAGGAGGATTTTGCAATGGATGTAATGTGACATGCATTTTAAGGAATTAAAAAATAAATGGATGTACAAGTTAATTATACTGATAAGGGGGCAAATTATTTTCTGGCTTAACTTCATTTGCTTTCGTATAAAAAAGGGCCAGTGTATATCCAGCCATTTAATATATATGGTAGAAACCAAAGGAAAAGAAAAAAAACCTTGGGAACAAGAACAACAAAAAAACCCTAAACCAAACCAAACACAAAACAAAACAAAACAAACAAAAAAACCCCAACAAACCCAAAACCAACCACCAAAAAAACCCCACCAAAACCCCAACCAAGCAAATGAGGAAAAAAACCCCAACCCCCCCGAACTCTTCCCCCCCAAAAAACCTCAAATCCCAGCCCTACTGGATTAGGTGTGTCTGTGTAGCTGCATTTCCTACATCTGCTGGTGGCCCAAAGTGGATGTCCAGAGAAAAACAAAAGCACTCTCAGCTTCCTAATTAAGTTGTTCAAAAAATACCCTTAAATCAGAAATGAATGTTAACATAATTGGTTTAATTTACCTGGTATAACCCGTAACAGAAAGATTTTTAATGTCTAACTGAAAACTTGTAAGAAATACGTATTTTGAAAACTTAATGATCTTTAAATAATAGCTGAGCAGAAAAGGTACCAGAGGGTAAAGTCTCTAAACTACTGTCAATAATTTATGATGTGACATGTTCAACTGTAGCGTTTGTTCAAGTGAATATACATCATTGCTTTGTAAATATAACCATAACCTGCAATCAGAAACATAAAAGATAGATATTTTCAAAGAAATAAAACCTCACAATTAGTTTGTTTGTAATGTGAATTTCCAATTAATCTGAATTGGATCAAGACCATAGCAATGAGTCTCAATTATGGGCCACAGAGCGCTAAGTAACTTAAGAAAAAAGCCAAAACCAGCATGTGTATTTCCTTCCTAAAATAAATAAAATCCTCCAAAACTAAAACACCTAACACAAGCTCTGGCAAGTGATTTGGGAAATGACTCCAGAAATACATTTTTCAAACTCATTGATTTCAGCTAAACTAAGAGAATAAGCACCATATTTTCTTACAAAATCGTAATGGGTGTTTATCTGTTACTGTCACACTTTAATGAACTACTCCACGTTTCAGGAAAAAACCCAAAACAACACACACAAGGGAAAGCCTGGTATTTACATCAGCAGAAATGTCTTTTTCATCGAAAGGGTGCAATCATTATTATGTAACACAAATCACAGAAATATCAATTTTTCTACCTTATCAGTTTTATAAAATCATGTTCCCTAAGGATGTAATTGATTAGTTGCACATGTTCTTACAGTGACATCTGAAATACTTAATTGTTGGTTATCTTTTCTCTTTCAGCAAGTAAAATATAGTCACAAAATTGCAAAGGGACTTGTTCTGCCTTAACCTTACCTAGATGCCATCATGCAGTGGAAAACAGTGCTAAAATATCACAGGATAATGCTCTCCAACAAGGGAGACATATAAACAGTATAATGATTTCCCATGAGTTTCCTTTTTAGAAAATTGTCACTAAAGCCAGGGTAAATGGTGACATATCTTCACAGAGGACACTGCAAAATCGAACACTGGCATTCTAGTTAGGTCCAAACCTACTCATCAGCCAATTACAAGAGTAACTGATTTTTTCCTGCTGAAAACCTGAACAAGACCACTTTGCTAGCCTTTGGAGATCATGCCACAGGAATGCATCTTTTCAGATTATTCTTATTCTTATTCTTATTCTTATTCTTATTCTTATTCTTATTCTTATTCTTATTCTTATTATTTGGTGGTGGTGGTGTTTTTTTAGAAAAAAGATTTAAAAGTCAATTTCTTACCATTCTTACCTATCATTCTTTCTCAAGGTTGCTGGAACAGTTGTTGGAGAGTGAAAAATGTGAGAGCAGAGCTGAATTACAAGGTTTTTTAAGAGTCCTTACAGACTTTTCCATTCAATCAGGTTTAGTGTGAAATGCTGTACTGTTAATGTGAAAAAGTTCATGACAGTTTTTCCTCTCTTCACAGGGAAAGATGCTTTACAATACCTAATTCAGTGGTCAGCTAAAATGGGGGAGAAGAAAATCAGTACATTCCAGCTACAGTAAGTAGTCTGGAGTGTCAGTCTCCACTGGGACCAAACCCCACATCTTTTAGATCACTTTAGAGTCTATATTCTTCTATTAACCTGCTTTTCCTGAAGTCCCATGAAATGATAAAAAAGTTACCAAAAGAACACATTAACTAAAAACCAAGTAGACGAAGGAACCAGACTTCTAATAGCCAGCTTTCCTTTTTTTTGAAGTCATAGCAGACACAATAATGTTTTGTATTACCTATTGTGAAGAGCTATGAAGAAATCACTTCCTTCTTCAGTAAGGATGTTGTTATAGGTTATTCATACAAGATATTCATACAGGAATTATATATAAATAAGTTGTCACTTAAGTTGTACTGAGGCATTTCTACTTTTCATTTCTACTAGAAATATGCACTGATGGGGCAGTTTTTCAAGACAGCAGGTTATCAAACATGCTTAAAACTCTGCATAAAGATACAAGAAGCATGCAAACACACAAATAACAATAAAGAAGTGATGCTCCATGTGAAGTACCAGCTAGCTAACACTCCTAAGCTGCAT